GACATCGGCATTTTGCGGAACATCCAGTGTCCAACACTCAGCGATCACTTCCCGGTGTGGCGGATTGCCGACCGTTCTTGGTTGAACACGATGGACATCACTAACCACTAACCCGACCGAAGCCTCAAGCAACCCCACATGATGGCCGCCAAAGTGTATAGGTCATCTGCTCAAATCTTTGGTTGAGGTGTTCTAGGCGACAACTGGATGTTGTGGCTGCTACCCATCTCTGGGCCTTCCGGCGATGGCCTGCAGTGGGGCATCGCAGAGCAAAAGACCACAGGTCACGCTGCCGGAAGAGCTTCGCCTCCACAGGCGACGAAGGTGCCTGCGGTTGGAACCTTTTTCTCTCTTGTGCACGCCAACGACATGAGTCTGTAGCCGCTGCAGTTATATAATTACAAATTTCGTGCATTTCGGGTCTTTGCGAAATCGGCCCCCATAGCCGCAGATTCATCAAAGGTTTCAATCAACGGTTGACTTTCAACGCCGCAGTCTTCCAAATTCCAAGGGAATCCTTACCAACAACACCCCGAGGGAATCATCCGGTTGGATTGAACAAACAAAACTGCAACAGGTGCTGTACAGGCCAAGGCAACGCTGACGAGCTCGCTTTGCATTGAAATTGGATGAAGTTTTGCCAAGGCCAATGAAGCAACTGAAAAAGGGGCTAGAGATGACGAGTCTGGCAACGTTGCCGCCTCAAGCACCTCTGCCTCGAGCTCTACGGTGGGGCTGGAATTGTTTGTTTACTACTCAAGATGTTGCTGTACTGGTGGCACTTATATAATATCTCGCAATTGCACATTGTTTATAAACACCAACTGCTTCTTGGCAGGAGCCTTGGAACACGGCTGGACACTTTACAGCTCCGCAGTGCATGTATCAAGCAGGCAAGGCACTGCAAGACATGTGCGGCAACATGACAGTTCCTTGTCCGAAGAGATGGGCGTGGCAGGTGGGCTAAGTGCAACAAGAGAACCGTGAAGGTCCGGAAGACCGTGGCATGGTCTGACTTGGACATGACTTGAGCCAAGGACTACTGCCAGAAAATCAAAGACAATCAAGAGCCCAGCATTTTCCACTATGGAATGGGTATTTTGCAGAACATCCACCGTTTGGGGCTTAGAATTTCCGCATCGATGCGTCCGCTGGTCAGCAGTGCACAAATCAATTGCAAAATGCTGTTCGAAGCAAGGCGTGCAATGACCATTTATTGTTACATTTGATGGGCATCGCTACTAGTAACAAGGGCACTACTGCACTACTACTAGTAGCTAGAAGCTACTGGGAACAAGGGCACCCTGCTTGGGGCATCTCGGGACATGCCTCCAAACTGTGACTCAGGGCCGTGGGAAGGGATTTCTGGTGCGAATTGTCCTGATGCGACATCCAGTCTTGCATCTTTTGCATCTTGGGCATCTTGGTTGCAACATATTGCGACAAGGGGGCGCTTTCACTGATTGCACCTGCCGCCTTTTCGGCATGTAGGATGATCAGCGGCAAGTGCTGAAAGAAAGTGCTTGCAATGTCACCCCTCACGGACAAAGACCTTAGCCGCTAAGCCCAGAATAGACAACTAACTGCATCACGGCATTACATTGCATCAGCTCTGTTCACTGTAACGAGGTCCACCAAAGACGAAAGGAACAATCCCTTGCCCTAAGAACAATGAAGGGATAGATTGGAGTTAGATAGTCTCGGTCAGATAGAATCTGATGCAGATTGAGAGGAGACACCAGAAAGAAAAAGGGACCATGACTGCGTAGCTCTTTCAGGCGGGTAGAGGAACCGCGGGAGCTGCGAGTCCATCTCGCACAGGGCAGGACTCTCCCGAACACGGTGCTTCATCCAAGCAGGCAGGTGAGAAAATCGGGCTGCATCGCCTGTGGCGCTGAAAAAACGGATTGAGATTTCACAAGCTTGAGGCTGCTGGCCAAGCACCATGAGCTACAAGACCACTGCAAGAACATGTAAGAATGAGAACTGCTGGAAAAAACGGTAAAAACAATGCATAAACGGAGAAACAAAATGGAATGAAGAGCTCATGAGGTTGGATGTCTTGAAAGAGAGGGGAATCCTTTGAAAGACATGACATTGTTTAGCTAGTATATTCTTTCTCAGGGATGACTTTCACAGTCTTCCACCGACGCTGCCAGGATGCCTGGGCTGCACTAGTAGACTTCGCCGAGCAATCCAGACAATGTGCAACGACAGTGACGTTGGCGCAGATTGTGCGTTCCCCGGCCACGGTCTCTCCGTTGCAAAGCCTCTCCACGACGCAGACGGCGGTCCGGGAGATTTGCTGCGACATGGCTGTGACCTGGATAAATAAGATGAAGTTCATAGAAACCAAGAGTGCGGCGTCGGAAGCGAAGTAGCAAGGCCAGTCGGACGCTGTCGTTCGGAGATTTGAGAGAGTGTGAGAGGCAAGAAGTCGCCAGACGGTAAAATGCATGCGGTAAAGCCACTGGTGCAGCTCTGGCAGTTCGTGGGGCAGAAAGTAGGATTGTAGGCTGGGACACAAGACTTGTGCTTTCATGGGTCGAGGCTTTCGTGGTGAACAAGGCGCAGGGTGTTGTTGGACGGCCAGATGATTGCATGGCTGCAGGAGTGTGTTCTTGAGTCCTCCCAAAGCTACAGAAAGCACCAAACACATATAGATGAAAAGCGTTTGTTTAGCAGCAACTCAGCAACCTTACTACAATTCACAGGGGCGAAGGTTGCATAAATCACGAAAGCTAGCGTCAGCTAGCTGGAGTTACTCTTGCTTTAAGCTATGCACGCTTCAAAGTGGCCACAAAACACCATCAACTCCACCCTGGCGGGTGTCTTTGTCAACAGCTACAAAACACCGTCAATACCAGTGTTTTCAGCTCCTCCAGTTTGCAAGAGTGCCCTCAAACCACGCAATGGACGGGGTTTTCTGTGGCTGTCCGGCCAGAAGCCTCGTAAAAACCGATGGTTTTTCAATTTGTCTAGGCTTCGAAAAGTTAGGCTTCAGTACTTAACCTTGATCCTCTAGCAAGGGCTTCTGTTCAACAGGGGGGCCCTGACCTCCTCCAGGGTTACGCCTGATTCCCTGCTACCTTTCGCTCACCCCCTCCTCTCTCAAGTATAATATTAATATGAGATTAATATCCATGTGTACATCATGATTAAGGTTGTGTCTACCAGACCCCTTTGTTCTAGAAGCTTATCAGCTTGAAACAAAAGCAAAACCCAAAAAAACTGATAGAACCCACGAACCCGAATGCAGTCACTCATGTATAGAGGAGAATGCAAAGGCACAAAAGTGTATCAATCAACACCTTTTCTTTGGATGACTCGCAAAGTCATCAGCAGAAGCAGCGCCAGCGCATCAAAAGCTGCAGCAAGCATTTTTCACGAGACTTTCACCAGAAGCAACAATCAAAGTTTCCAAAAACGAGCATTTTCCACGAGACTTTCTCTTGCTAAACAGTCTTGGTTGAAACTTGTTCTTGACACTCTTTGCTAGACAATCTTTCTTGACATTTGTTCTTGACACTCTTGCTTGACACTCTTGCTGGACACTCTTGCTTCACACTCTTGTTGGACACTCTTGACACGACACTCTTGCTTCACACTCTTTCTTGACACTCTTTGCTAGACAATCTTTCTTGACACTTTCTCTTGACACTCTTGCTTGACACTCTTGCTTGACACTCTTGCTTGACACTCTTGCTGGACACTCTTGCTTGACACTCTGCTAGACACTCTTGCTGGACACTCTTGGTTGACACTCTCTCTTGACACTCTTTGCTAGACAATCTTTCTTGACACTCTTTCTTGACGCTCTTGCCTGACACTCTTTGCGGGACACTCACTCTTTGCTAGACATTCTTGCTGGACACTCTTGCTTGACACTCTTTCTTGACACTCTTTGCTAGACACTCTATCTTGACCCTCTTTGCTAGACACTCTTGCTTGACACTCTTGCGTGACACGTTTGCTGGGCACTCTTTTCTAGACACTCTTGCTTGACACGTTTGCTGGGCAGAGGCGAGGGTGGCCGGCATCCTGGAGCCAGAGCTGGTGGAGACAGTGGTTCCAAGGAGAGGAGGTGAAAATGGTGATTTCCCACCACCTCACTCCTCAGACATCACCAGATAGTTCGCCACATCTCTGAGGCGGAACGGGAGTGAAACGGGTGCTGCTCGAGTGCCACTACCTGCGGAATAATGATTTCGAACTTGAAGGTTTAATTCAAGACCTTTTCACAGATGGTACTAGTGACTTGTGAAGCTTTGGGTGGTGGAGAATGCAGCCGTAACCTTTTGGAACCATGTCCATGGTTTACCTGTGATATCCAATGATGGTAGAGGCTTATAGCACCACCGTAGGTCCTGCCGTCAACTGATCTCAGCAAACTTTGGGTTTGTGGGGATGTCTGCGGGACACACAGACACGTTAACTTTCTGCCAAGAATCCTTGGAGCCGAAAGGGATGCACGAAACACCAAGAAATCTATCACATGCAGTTGAATCGTGGGTACTTGTTGGGCCTTTGTGGAACCTGCAGCTTGTGGCGCTCGGCTGCGCGAGGCTCTGTTCACGGTGCGAGTTTCACACAGGAATTCTCTACGCCTGGCGGATGATTATGGAGTGTTTCACTGCCATAGGTTCATAATGGTTCATAGATCCTGAGAGTTATGTCAGTGGGTGGCAAAAAGTTTTCTTTGGGGCTGGGTGAGGAATCAGGCAAGGGAAGTCTAGACACATTGTGGGGTGGGTGCATCTTCAGCACGAGGTTTGGTTTGTCAAAAGCAACACCGTTTGAGATTTGAGTATGTATGTAATGCGATGTGATGTAATGAAATCTAGTGTAGTGTAATGTAGTGTAAGTTGTAGTATGATGTTCGTTGTTGTTGCCTCGATATATAATTCCCTTTCCATTTCTGAGAATTTACCGCACTCTACTCATTGTTGCCTTTGAGCCTCGTTTAATTCAATCGAGACGATCCAATCAATGTCCCCCAGGTCCACAGCACTATTGGGCACAGCGGCTTTATCCAAGTCACAGCTCAAGATCAAAGTGGCTTGTGGCACAGTCAAAGGGATGTCCGGGTGATGCAGGACGGAAATTCTTCAGTTTGGCCGAAAGTAGCTCATACCTTGCACGATGCTTCAGGAGACATTTACTTTTCGGATGATGGCAGGCACTGGATGAGAATCACTTCGACAGAGGACGAAGCTGAATTAAGAATATACAGAATGATTGCTGCTTGAAGAAGGTTACTTTGGCACTCTCCATGCTTGGAGGCGAATGGGGAACTTGCGTGCTGGAGGATTGCGAAAATCTTAGCTCTGGAGTGAGGAGAGCATCCTATTCGGCCCGATGCCAATATTTTGGAGCCAGACTTCCGTCGAAGTGGTGCTGGTGCAAACAAGTAACAAGTAGATTGCAGCTGCAAAACCTGGTGCAGGAGCAGACCTTTGGAATGCCATGGTGTGGATGGTTATGTCTACGACTTGGACGGGCGTTTTGTTGAGGTTTTCTTTCGATGAGCAGCCTGCGCGAATGTGCTTCTGCATCAGTTGGTGCAGGGACACATGAAGGGACTTAATTAAGCTGTGTTTAGCTTGTATATATATATATATATCTGTGTGTGCCTTTATCATGCGATGGCTGAGAAAAATAGGGTCCATACTCACCACACCTCACGTGAGCAAATGTTTGCCGCCTGTTCGGTGGTCATTCCAGGACACCTGTAACGGCCGGTCAGCCTTCTGTGCTGATTCGGTGGCAGAATGGAGAGACAAGGATGGTGCACGCCACCCAGATGGCAAGTGTGCGAAATCGAGGGAGATGATAAAGGGGCAATCCTGTGAACCGAATACCTTGTCCTTCGTGTTCATTCAGCGACATCGCTGGAGGGTATAAGCTCTGGAGTTAGTTCTTTCCTTGTGCCCCCTCCAGTGCTCACCGTTTTGAGTTCTTGACCCGATTTTAACTCTGATTGCACTGATCGCAGTTGAAGAATTCAACGGCGCACTATGGTTTCAGCTCGCCCTGAACTCACAACCTTCAAACTGGTGAGCCTTGTGGTTTGCCCTGCCCTGGACTGAAACTTCACTCCTGCCCTTGAACACGGGGAGGGTGAGCACATCAGGTGAACCTGGCGCCGTTTCAGGGCACTGGTTCAGTGAGATGGCGAAGGTTCTAATGAAACTACAATGATGAAACTGTGCCGGTGAGTGTTTCAGAAGGAAAAGAACCATTGCAATTCCAATGAATTCTTGGGACATGCGCCTGGTATTGAACAATGTCCGTGCCTCACCTCCTGGCCACCTTACCCCTTCCTGTCCCACCTCACCTGGCCTCACTTCAGCTTGTTAAAACGTTGCACCACATCAATAACCAACCCACCCTAGAGTCTGAGAAAAGATTGTATACGTACCTCTTGCATTTTTGAGTTTTTGCTGAAGTCCACCCTTTCCATTGCCCATGTTCCAATCAACTACGAATCTTTGGGGTTTGTTTGGAGGCTTAAGATTGGGATAAACGGGGTAAACATCCATTTCAAAGCAGCATTTGCATTTCTTCTTGCAGTGAGTGTCCAGTGTCCCATCTCCCTCGTCTGATCGCCAAAAATGAAGGCAAACGGATTTTCACATCCAAAGATCCCATTGGAGTGTCATTTGCAGGGAATTGAGTGCACCCTGAAAGCTGCAGGTCCTTTCAATGTAGATCACAAATGATCATTCAGGGATTCAGAGCACCAAGTTCCAATGACCTGTTTCTTGATACCTTGTTGATGAGTCAACAGGCATTCAAGTTTGATGATGTTAAGCTAATTGACCTACCATTTGCACTGCCGTGGTGGTCAGGTTGCCAAGAGTACGAAGGCAAGAGCTGGTGTGATGCCGATGGCTCCTATGGGTCAGGCAGGGGTAGAGTCGGGTAGAGTGCACAGAAGTCTTGCTGTCGATTTTCCGAAGGCTTCTCTCACACATACTGCAAGGCATTGCAAGACTGCAAAGGTTTTTAAAGGTCCATGATATCTAGGAGTGGTTTCTTACAGCGAGGTGTGCGTACTTCATTTCGCGTCCTTTCTTAGAAGTCAGCTGTCCTTGGCAGCAACCTCCATTTTCATCCATAGAGCGCGAGACTCGTCTCAGGATGGAAGCAGAGCTGGGGTAATTTCAGTGATTTCAGCTTTGGCGGTTTGGACGTCTCGACAGTTTGCTGCAGCTCGATGGATTTGTTGTGATAGGTTTTCAAGGGCCTGCGGTGGGGCCGGGTTCCTAGGTGTTAGATTGAGCGGGAGCTGGGGTCAATAAACCAAATTTGGGGAGGGCTTCAAAAGCTTCGTTTCGCTTGCAAAGTCAGCGTAGCTGCAGCTCTAAGCTCTTGGCATTTCTTGGCATCGTCCCTCTGCAGGGTCACCGTCTTAGTAGTGCATGACCCTGCTTTTTGCTGTTACTGGGTTCCCGTGGCCCCAGTGTGAAAGAAGTGTTCCGGGCTGTTCCAGTGTGAAACGGTACGCACCCCGACTGCCCGTGACTCTTGCCTCACCAAGTTCTCGGTCCAAGGTGCATGTGGAGGAGGGGTTCTCACAGCTGAGCCGGTCACCTTGGCACGATGTGACGAAAATTTGGCAGCCATGGATACGGACTGTGACGGTACCATTGACGCTTGCGCTTGCAAGAGACTGACATAGACTGACCAGATAATTTTGTGTGAACAGCATGGGGACACATCCAAATGCGGGTTTGCTCGCCCAGGATTGTCAGGATGCCTGCCCTTTGGACCCCCAACCGGAGTGCCTTCATGGCAAGGCAAAGAGAAACAGTTCCAGCCCCAGCGTCGGAAGAGCTCAGGTGCACCTCCACCCAGACCGTCACAGGACTTGCTCTTTCAATGCTTGTTTGCAATGCTGCTGCAGCACCTTCACTTAGAGTCATTGCTAACTTTCCTCAATTTGCACTTCGCATATCTGTCGCTGCGATTTATTGGCTCAAAGGGCTGCGGCAAAGAGAAGGCTTTGTCAGACGTGCTGATCAAAATGAAGAAGGGTAGGGCCGCGAAGCAATGCAAGATGCGCATGGCGCAAGGTTGCAGCGTGGCTACCTTGCTCAACTGTGCGGATAACAGTGGTGCAAAGAACCTGTACATCATTGCAGTGATCGGTATTGGGGGTCGCTTGAATAAGCTGCCCAACTGCTCTCCAGGGGACCTAGTCCTGTGCTCTGTGAAGAAGGGAAAGCCTGAGCTCAGGAAGAAAGTCCTAAAAGGTGTCCTGGTTTTGCTGGAGCTGATGCGGCATTCTTTTTCAAACTTAGTTCTGGGACGTGCTAGAGCGGGTTTTTGCATAGTGGGTTTGATATGGTTGGATATGTTTTGATCCTCAAGTGTGAACAAGGTGTATATATATATATATAAACCTTTTGAGTTCCAAAGCCGCAGCCCGAATGTTTTCAGGTGTGGTGATCCGCCAGAAGAAGGCTTGGCGCCGCCGTGAAGGAGTGTTCGTGTACTTTGAAGACAATGCGGGCGTCATCGTCAATGACAAAGGCGAGATGAAGGGCTCAGCGATCCAAGGCCCTGTGGCGAAGGAATGTGCCGAGCTTTGGCCGAAGATCGCTTCGTGTGCTCCAGCCATTTGCTAGCAAACCTGACAGAGTGTTCATCTTCAGCCCCTGCGGGGAAAGGCACAAAAAATGCGTTCAGAAGCTGATCAGAACATATCAGAACTAACAAGAAGCTACTAGGGGCTCCTAAACTCAGAGAGAGGAGTATTTCAGAGTCTTTCACCCCACCCCTGCGCCTCCTGGGCCCCTGGGCTCGTGTCGTACATGTGCCTCGTGTCTTTTGCCCGTTCGCAGGAGAGGGGACCAATGAGTCGGACACGTCCGTGCTCGGCGCTCGGAGTTTGGTGCGTCCAAAGTGAAGCTAGATTTAGTTTACAAACCAAGAAAAGAAAGACAGCTACGACACTTGGAGATTTTGACTGAGACTACCCTGCTAACGGAACTTACCCGTCGCAACTACAAGAAAGGATGCCATGCTATCAGCAGATTCATCGCAACTCTAGGAACTGCCTGTTGCGCTGATGTCGCAAGTTTGCTCAGCGAACTGTTGGCGGTTTATCAGTCATCTTAGCTACTTTCACTTTAGGTCCACTACGGGAAGGAGCACGGCGACCGGGTGGCAATGAGAGACACAAAATTGCAGCTGTCATTGCTTTGCGGCCCCACACGTGGAACACGCGCATCCATTCTTTGCATGTTCTTTGTAAGATGCGAGTGTGTGAGGCCAACGTGTGAGGATTTCACATTCACGCTTTCCAGTTGGGTCATCCATTGCAATCCTTCGCTGCCAAGGGGGCGGGATTTGCGGCGAATGTGACGACCAACTACACAAATGAGTCTTCCTGGACAAGCACGGCACCCCCTGCATGTATCATTTTGCTGCCATCGCCAACGAAGCTTGGTCACCAGACGAATCTCTTGTAGATGACTGCAGTATGCAAGGACCTCCCTGGCTGTCCAAGCAGCAGTAGCTCAACATGACGAAGGTTCAAGGAGAGATACGCTCATTATTCAACAAGGATACTGTAACAATTTGGGCGTTTTTAAGAAGGTCTTCAAAGGCATGCACACAAACCCCGTCAACAATGTTCTTTCCGCATGGACAACGTTCTTTCCGCAGCAACAATCTTGTTATATACACACTTTAATTCTCTTGGATTAAAGGAAGAACTTTCCGAACACTAAAAAAGAAATCCAAACAGTTTTGTACATATCATATAATGTATAGGTTACAATGTTCTAAAGAACTTGTCAATAAAGCTACAAGTTTCCTTTTGTATTTCTCCATGACAACCGTTTGTCGCCCGAACACTGACCAAACACTAAAATGTTTTGTAAACTTCTTTCCTTGTTTGAGCATTGTAACTTTGAGAAGAAGTTGTAAAAGAAACTTGCAGCTTCAAAAAGGAGTTGAAAGAAGTTGAAGGTTACCAAAAGAAGCTGACAGTTGCCAAAAAAGAATTGAAATACTGTTGCCATGGCTGTGTTACATATAGGCTTATTCCAGGTACAACCATCGCAGACCTTTTGAAAACACAAATAAATATGTACGTCAAGTTTGTTGGGCCTTCCATCTACCTCCGCAGTAGCCTCACAGGTCTCCAAGAATTTGTTGCGTTCCTTCAATGGTCGCAACTAAGGAATATGTCGGGCGAATCCACGGTCACTTGCCATTATCATGGGTAATATCATTTGTCACATCTTCCCTTTGCATGTGCCCAGAAATGGCACGAGTGGGTGACTGGTCAAAACCTGACTCCGGCCATACAATGCCATACACCAAGGTGGTTGACTCAATTGACTCGACCGGGGCCAGAGGCCGGCGTGTGTCTTGTGGAGCCGTGCCTTCCGGCATTTGATGTTGTAAGGCACATGCCTAGAATAAGGACTAACGCACAGTAGCATGGGCATTGGAGACAGAATAGTGAAGGAGACCCAACCGTACAGCAAGTCGCCGCCCGACCTTCTACCGGAAAAATTCCTTGCAGCCTGGCTCAGTACACCGTGAATTCACGGTTGAGGTGTGCAAATGCTGGGTGTACTACTCAACTCTTCATCTTTGACTCGGTCACTTGTAACATTCATAGTTATAGGTCTTGAAGTTCTTGTGCAATTACGGATCTCCGAACATACTATCGCGTCCCCTTATTTGTGTAGTTGTGTAGGTCCGTGATGAACCACTCGTTGTGCTTTTGACTGCCGGCTGTTTCACTTGCACGCTCAAGTGTGATTAAACAGGTCGAAGATGGTTGAGGCCACAGATGCCAGTGCAAGGATTTGAGCACCATTGATGGAAGCTGCAGCGTACAGCCTTAGTGAAGTGCTGAAAGCCTTGCACAGTAAGTGCATGACACTACACGCATGTGAGAATCGGCTTGGTGATCAGGGTTCCGAACAAGTAGCTCTTGCGTTGGCAGAGAATTGCTTTGTTCGAACACTACGCTTGCATGACAATGATATTGGGGATCACGGTGCCGCAGTACTCGCAGAAGCGCTTCTCAGCAATCGATGCTTGTTGACCCTGTCCATGACACGCAACAGGGTTGGTCCTGCGGGTGCCTGGGAGCTTGGCATATGTTTGAGAGCGAACTCACGCTTGACCAAGCTTGATTTGGGTCAAAACTCCTTGGAAGACGAAGGAGCCATAAATTTGTCACTTGGATTGGCCCAGAACCATGGATTACTTTCTTTGGATCTCCAAGCCAATAGAATTGGAAATCCAGGTGCGGCAGCTTTAGCTGGTGCACTCACTAAGGGTATCTCCTTGAGAGAGTTGCACCTGCGTGACAATCGGATTGACGACGACGGTGCTGAATCCTTGGCCGGCGCTTTGGCCCTCTCCAAGTTGGTCTTACTGGACCTGAGCTTCAACATGCTTGGGGGCTCTGGACTACACCAGTTAACAGAAGCCGTGGAGCAGTCAGAAACCATGACCTCCTTGAGCTTACAAGGTGGTCGTTTTCAAGGTCTTGAGGTGCAGCGCTTGCAAAGTGCATTGGAGCGAAACAAGCGAACGCTGATTCTGATGGTTGATGTGGTTCGAGCTTTTGAGACGTTGCAGGTCTCTTGCAGAACGATGTCTGGCAACACCATGCTGGAGGTTCAAATCCCTGACGTCACGTCATTAGAAGAACTTTATATCATGGTGGCTGATGCAGTTGGAACCCCGGCCTCATTGCTCAATCTCATTGATCCAAGGGGGGAAATTCTCGCAGATTCCCCTGACCTTGTTTCTGAGCAGTTTGCACAGCAGGCCGAGGCATCGTGAGAGAGCATGAAAAAGAGTGCACGTTGGCGTCCTGATGTTGATGCTGCAATCGCGGAGGTTGTACCTCAGCTATGGCGGGCGTACGTTGTACCTTACATGGGCAATAGACACCTAATAGGCCTGATCACCGAGCAAAAGTGAGGGAAGGTAACAAGTTTTGCTCCAATGGGATGTTGAATGGTTCTCAAACCAGCAGCTTTGATCACTCAGTGGGGCAAATCATGGTGACCTGGCCGACTTTTTTTGTCAGGCAGTCGGCTCCTTAAAGACAGGGGAACCCATTCCAAGGATGACTGACTTTGCACATTCATATGCCATATGTATATATGTATATTGATATATAGAAAGACGTTCACCCACAGGCCAACAAAAGAATGGCATGTTTGGCATGACCTGTTGAACATGCGGGTGCTTTGTCCGGGCAGGTGTTCTTTGGCCTTCAATCACATCCTTTTTCCTCACCCTCATCCTCGCGCAGTGATAAACCCCGCCAGTCGGACACATGCCTGGATTGGCCAATTAGGAAGTAGGACGTTTTCGGTTGTTGAGTGAGAGGCTGTTGAGCTGTTTAGGGGAGCTGGTGCCGGACAAGGCTCATGGCCCTCTTGTCCTTTTTGGCCCTCATTTCGTTCGTGGTATGAATTCGACTTCTGACTGGAGAGCAAAAGGCTTGCCGCCTTGTGCAGACAGTGATCAGTACGACAGGGATCTCTCTTGGCCATGTGCTTGTTGGCAAAGTGGTGTATCCCACAATGCATTGGTCGATGTTTGCTTTGTCCTGTGATGTTTGGGCTCGCAGCCTTTGGTTGTGATGGGGCAGGTAATTTCCGCTGTGCCAGGGTGCCAGAAGAGGTTCGTTGTGACATGTATTCTTAAACTTCCCTTGTGGACTCGTGGCCGAGAGAATCCAATGTGCAGGAAGGCCCACATTGAAATGGACATGTCAAAGATGCTGGGTGCACAAGACTGGATCAAGCGCTTTGGTGATCAAATGGATCTTGTTTGTATACTGCAATCTGTCGACAGATGGCGCACCACTGTGAAGTAGTTTGGGCTGCGAGGTGGTTTATTGGCATCAGCGAGAGGGAGCTTATCAGTGAGCGCAGAGAGGTGGCAGCACATCTAATTTCTGACCACTCGCTAATCGCATTTCGACGCTAGAAACCTGTGCATGACATAGATGTTGGTTTTGTGCACGAATGAGGGATGGCACAGATACACCCATGATGAGCGCGATGAGGCAGTCTTCGACGGCAGCAGCTTTGTGTGCCCTGTTTGCAGCTGCAGCGGGCGAGGTGGGCAATACGACAGGGCGGAACATCCTGGACCTCCAAGCTAAACATTGAGCCAACACAGTAGCCAAAAGAACACGTAAAAAGCCTCTTGTAAATTACAGTTGATGGAAAGAATCTGGCTCTGACACCCCAAAACACTGAAGTTAAATGGAGTTGGTTTCCCTATCTCAGCTGGTGCAGGCGACATTAAGTCATTGGCCATAGGTGCACGGACTACTTTCGGAGGTGGGCCAAGGGGGCTCCAGAGCCATTGGTCGGCAAGGGCAAGTCCTCCAGAGCCATGTCGTATTGAACCGTTCTGCCGCTCTGCCCTTTCCCAAGAATGGTCCTAGCCACCCTTCCGGTGCGAAGATGTGTGAAGCATAGACTGACAAGACTGACAAGACCCCAGTCCTTGTGGGAATTGCACCATGCCTGAGGAATCTATCAACAGGACAGAAGTGGCAAGCGGGCAAATTCGAACGTAAGACCATTCAGGAGAGAGTCACAGCGAGCATACACGGAGCACAATGGAACGTTTGTCCTTTTACCCTTGTTGCCTGCCTCCATGACAATTACAACTCATGCGATTGGGGCAGGTCACTTTGGCCAGCCACCCTGATTGTTGATGTTCGTGTGCCATGACAAGCAGGAACTGCAGGAGGATACTGGCAAGATGAAGGTCGAAGGCGAAATGGTTGAGAGGCCCAAAAGACAAGTTCTGCCATGTCCGAAGATGGTGTAGGCATGTGTAGGCGATGTGCATGGGTTTCTTGAACCTTTGCTTGTGGTCTTGTAGATTGGCTGAAGCTCCAGGGTGCCCTTGCTCCGCGTGATTGATGGGTGCGATATTGGAGATCTTCAAGCAAAGCTGAAAACCGAGCATCGCGCGGGTTCCTTAGAGCTATTCCTTTTCGTTGGGCCTTGTGGCTGGCTTGAGGGTCTTGACCCCGTCGCTGCTTGCACTCTTCCTGCTCACCTCACAAACACACACACACACAAACAAACATGCACACACACGCACGCACGCGCCCGCACCCGCACATTTTGGCTGCAGGATTAGGTTCAAGACAGGTGCTATGTTGTAGTCTCGTAGACCCGACCTGACCGCTTATGCCGACGGTTTTGCGGTGCAAGAGTTGGAAATCACACAGGGACTGGCAGCACAGCTGTGAGAAGGCCCGAGGTGTTCAGCTTGAACAAGCCCCCCTGCCGCGAAATTTGGGCGAAGGCCCATTTGCCACAGCAAGGGCTTGGTATCCTCGGGGTGGTCACAATGAGCTGAACAACAAATCCCTGATGGTCTCGGGCGTGGTGAAGACCAGCTCTTGGCACACCAGTGGTGGGATGAACTCCACCTACTCCCTTGCCTTTGGCTGCCCGAAGAAAGACCCTACACCTTGGCAGCAAGAGCTCGCCGCTTTGCGGAATCTGCAGCGTTCCAATTTCCCTGACTGGAGAAGAGATCTTTCAACATTTTGATGCACCCATTCCAACCAACAAGCTCAATGGCGCGGGCATGTCCAGAAGGTTTAAAGCCTCGCAACTTCGAAGAAGCTTCGGTGGCTCTTTTTGAGGGCTTGCCCCTAAGGGGCGCAGCAATATATAGAGGAATCGCATTGCCCAGTCTGAGAAGCTTAGAAAAGCTGAGGATGGGAACAAGAAGTGCAAGCAAGCAGCAATGGGATTTCTTAATGTTTTGAATGGTGCCATCTAATGTATGAAGGCCATGGTGCAAATCGCGTCGAACTTCAACTGTTTAGAGTTGCTTTGCTCAAGTTAGTTTGCTCGGATGTTCCTTCTTTGGGCGATTGACATTCTGGATGGGGGACAGAGATTCCATGACAGAGGGAACCATGCAGACCTTGCGATGCCTCACTTGAGGAATCCTTCAAGAGGATGCCTTCCTGATTATGGGTCATTGGTCGAGAAGTACTGTGTTGATTCCACACAGGCCAGGCCTGGCCGGGTGGTCTGAAACTCTGTTGGTGCCGCATCAGTCCACGGGGAGTGAAACTCCAGGGGCCTGCGGCCTCCTTTGGTGTGCCAGCTGCCAGCCTGCTGCGCGCACACTACGCCTTTTTCGCCACGAACCCTACAGATAGCTGGCAAACGCGGCACAAACGGAGCAAAGGTGTACACGTGTCCATGTCACTTGCATGCCTCCAAGGACAGCAGCAAGCCAGCTTCAAGCTGGGGCCAGACGAAAGACCAACAGGCTTTCACCAATGTCCTGCAGGAATGCGCTCTGTCATTTTTCAATTCCTTGTCCAAGCATAGTGTTATTTGATGTTCTGTCTTTGGGGCAGGTGGACCTGCTTCGTCGAGTGCAGCACTACTTTGGTACCTGCGTCAATGGGAAAGCCACCCTGACTGGAGCTGAAGAACAACTACCAGATGAGAAGCCACCTGGCTTGGCGTCTGGACCAGACTCACCAGGCCCCGTTGTTTTCTCGCCATCCCCGACAGACCTGGCACACTGGCGACAGTTCCCAGACATGGCCATCAGTTTCGTGACGGGCTTTGAAGAGCACTCGATTTTCCTTGGCTCTTTGTGTTTATATAATAAGTAATGATCACAGCTGGCCCAGTTGGCCGCTTGGGCCACAAGGATCAGGACTCAAGACCATCAACCAAAGAGTGCTTGCGAGTCAGGTTGACACCTGCAAATCGGAATAAAACATATGACAGTTCCTCCAGAAAATATGTCAGGTTGTTTCATAGATCAGCATTGGTCAGCATTGTATGACAAGAATGTGACAAGAATGCCTCGAGACAAGGATTGATGAAGTCTTTGAGCAGATAGAAGCTACCCGGCTTTAAGGATACTGGCTGTTAGATGCTGTTAGGATTGACAAGGTGGCACTTGCTGTGAGAAGCACACCCAATGGATCCAAGTCTCAGCTCGTTGGACTTGACTGCTTTGACTGGCTGTTGTGCTAAGGTTGGCATCCATTCTGATGCAGAGGCATGGCGTGCCTGAACTGCTTGAACTGCGTTCGTCCGACAACTCGCAGACAGACTGACAGATTTGTTGAATCGCGTGAATTGAGTTGTGCTGCAGGGTCCTTGTCCTCAGGTCATTTTTGGACGAGGACCTAGCTGGGACAGAGCAGTGAACATCTTGGATGAGAAGCCCTTGGTCGACCAGGTGCTTGCTTAGGGCAACGGAGTTGCTTTTGCAACCTTGCCGGATTTACCACGATCTGCTTAAGTGTTGATCATGTATCAATGCAAGCCATTGGGATTTCCCGGAACGCTGGTGCAAACCACTGCAAGGTCAGAAAGCTCAAAGCATGGCCTTCAAGTAAGGCCACCTGCACTTGTGAAAGCGCATAGAAAGAGCCTGCAGGTTCTATCGGCTTCAGTCAATTGGAACAGCCCGTGCTACTTGGCTCATCCATGACGTCAGTATGAGTGTAGTCCCAAATGTTGTAACCTTTTGCATTTCCTCCAGTTGATGATTCCCACATGAAAAGCAGCTAAGTGAGTGCTTCAGGGTGAATTCCAGCAATGCGGCGAACTCGCTCGCAAGATCCAAGGCCTCTCGCGTGCAGAGGTGGTGGATGAAACGAAGCTGTTGCCGCTCACGCGAGCAGCTCTCCGCGCAGCATATCGAGGTGGAATGAGTAGTTGTTGGAATCAGGCAGCCTTCAGACCTTTGTTTGCTGTCCTAGCACGTCTTGAGCAACTACCAAATGGAACACAACGAACACGACCGTGACCCGCTGTTTACCACCGACATTCCGATAGATATCGATCGATATCACCTTTAGAATTAAGACCCTCAAGCACATCCAATCTAATCAGGACTTGAGTAGTTAGTATCCCTTCTTCCGTGGAGATATGTTTGTCAAAGTTTGTTTACCAAAAGAAGTCAATGAGCATTCGGCTGAATGAGCATGCCAAATGTTTAAAAGGCGAGTCACTGCACTGAATTCGAAGACTTCAGATTTCCCAAGCACGACTAGAAGTGGAGAGGCTATGAAGCACAGTGTGGTCCAAGGCTCTGACCATTTTGGCCAATTCAATTCGATTTTGTTTGGGATCCTCTGTGACTAGTTGGGGGCAGCTTGTGACAAACACATGGCAGTTATATAAATATAGTTCAATCTTCCTTTGTACCCACCACAGGCCGTGACATGGGATGCGATAACAGACTCGTCCGCTCGCAAGTCCTTTTAACCAGGACAGGTCCAGTCCAAGGAGTACTACCAAATTATTATCATAGTTGGACATATAGTTAGACCAAATCATGCCACAAATTCATCCCTTCGTACAAGACTACGTTTGGTGGACGTCGTTAGGTGGATACAGTGGAAGGGAATGTCATGCATTTTACAATCAGGTGACGTCTGCAAAGACAGCGAAGAAGCACCAAACCTCAAGTT